CCCCAAAACCCCAAAACCCCAAAACCCCAAAACCCCATTTATCCAACAATATTTGAAAATGAATATCTTAAAAACCCCATATCTAAAACCCAATGGAAGTTACCAAAAGTGGCCATTCACACTCCCACACCCTAGACCCTCTCTCCTACCCCTCCAAAGGTTCAGGTACTCTCCATTATTACTATAGCTTCTAAAGTTCAAGAACCTAAGCCTCATACAGAAGAAGAGAAAGACTCCAGCCCTAGCATAGTCCCTGGAGAGAGCAAATTTGATAGAGCTAAAGGCTCAGTGATCGGAGCTCTATGCGGAGATGCTATTGGAGCGGTGCTTGAGTTCTGTAGAGGAGAAATTACTGAAGAAAGAGGTATATAGTAGCCGAAATGCATACATTTTTCTATAAAATTTCGAAAAATAATTAATATGACTTAACTCTGATAATTTAGCTACCGAAGCTTTAACCATGCCTGGAGGAGGCGTCTTTCAAGTTGGCCCGGGACAGATAACTGATGATGGAGAACTAGCAATCTGTCTTCTACATGGCCTGGTAGAGGGTGAAGGAAAATTTTTAGAAGCAGAAGTGGCTAATTATTATGGAAGGTGGATCAGATCTCGACCCTTTGATTGCAGGATAACAATTAGAAACTCTCTCTTAGATACTATTAGTAAGAAACCTTATTCAAAAGAGATAAAGATTGAGGCAGCATGATACAATCAAAGATCTCAAAGCAACGGATCACTCATGAGATCTACTCCTCTCGCTGTATTCTGTCACAACATGGAGATTCCTGAGACCAAAGATTCAGTTACTTCATTTTTTAATTTTAAAGACTGGCAAAAACATAGAGATTGTGTGTTCAAAGCAGTAAAGCTAGACGCAACTTTCACTCATCCTAACAAAACAGTGCATTATGTTGAAGGATTATACATCTACATGATAACCCTGATCATCAACGGAGTCCCATTGGGCGAAGTCTATCAGACAATCATTGATGATATTGAAGAATCAGCTGATAAAGAGTACAAAGAAATGATCCAAGGATGGGTTGGAGAATCTGAAAAGCCAACACTTGATAGTCTAAAAGAAAATATGGGCTGGATTAAGCACGCCTTTGTTTGTTGTATGAGATACCTCAGACTTGCAGCACAGAAGCAAGAAAACAACGAGCAACTTGACTCTAAATTCTACGAAGAAGCAATGGTAGAAATCCTGATGGGAGCAGGCGACACTGACACAAACGCTTGTATCGCAGGTGGAGTCATCGGAGCTATTTTAGGGTTTGATAAACTCCCAGAAATCCCGAAGGACAAGGTCCTGAATTGGGACTACTCAGATAACCATGAAGGCCGTGAAAGACCCGATTATCTTGTCCCAAAAGACAAAGTAGAAAAATTGATTGAGGATTTGTTCAAAATTGCTCCTGAAGACTCAGATTTCACCGAATAATAAGTAGTCGATCAATTTTGGTACATTTATACGGGGTTTTGGGGTTTTGGGGTTTTGGGGTTTTGGGGTTTTGGGGTTTTGGGG